CAATTTAAATATAATTTCAGCCCAAAAGTTCGCAATAAAATTGATTAAATCAAACAGGAGAAAGAACAAGAAAAATGACTGAATCTAGGTAATAAATTCTTTATGAAGTATTTTTGGGCTTCATCTTACATGAGTTCACAGTCTGAATCCACTTCCTGAATTCCTATCTTAGTCTGTAGCAAGGTGGATTTATGTCTCCTGTGGCTGTATTCAAAAAGTCCATCATCCTGATTTATGTTCCGTCTTTTGCAATGTTAATTGTGAAACTTAGGGGCACAATGTGGTGTCCCCAGTATCCTATAAAAAGCAAAAATGCAGAAATACAAGGGAATATAAAAGCTTCTCCTTGTACACTCAGCAGAACCACGTCAAGAGAAGAATCTCCTTGGGCCAGTGCTGTTATGCCGGCTTTACAGCTGACACCAAAATAGTACGGTAACCGGAGACACATAAATATCATAGATTATATTCCCTTTAGTTAATTCCAAAACATCTGTGCATGAGACCACAGACATAGTCAGGCTTTTCAAATGTCAAAGTGATGCTGGTAAATCAACACTTCCCTGCATGTGACTGTGCTATGATGAGCTCCCAGGTCAGCCAGGGCTACCCTGCAGGTGGCCCCGGTCCCACCCTCTTCCAAGTGCTCCTGCTGATCACATCCTTTGAAAGAGCTCCTGTGGGGATAGCATGCTGGTTGCTCAGCTGCATTTATGCATACAAACTCTTTCTAGTGCCTTGCTGGTTCATAGAAAATTGTTTCACTGGCATTTGCTGTAACTTTTTGTTTTGCTGAGTCAGTTTCCCTTAAAAGGAAGATTTGCTCACATGAACATCAGCAGTTTCTCCAAGTGACCTCATATTCGTTATTCTCTGTGGGGATATTCTATGTAAGCTAGCAGGCATATTTCCTCTTTCTTCTAAATTTAGTTTCTTGTACTTTCATCTTTCTTTTTCAACAACGAGTAGCGTGATAAATCCCTATTGTTAGCTAAGTTATAAGATCTCCCAAACTCTCCCTTTTATTTCTCATCTCAGAATTAGTGCTGTATTTTGTCTGGATTTTATTTTTTCTTTTAAAACATTTGTTTTAAAATATAATGTGAAATAGAAATAGATATAGAAATAAATAGAAATAGAAATAAATAGGATTAAACACTTGTTTATTTTTGAGGTACACTTTAACAATGATCTGAGAAGGAACTGTAAGTATAACCAGCAACTAGATAAAATTATTGGATGGCTTCATGTCTTTGTTATTGAAAGAAATGCTTAATAAATGAGGTGGGTGACCATAATGTACATAATTTTAGTACCAAAATTACTATCTATCTGGTAAAAGCAGAGAGAGAAAAGAAAAAAAAAAGCAAAAGCCAATGTTCGTTCTTTGAGCAAAATGAACTACACTTACTGAAACATTTTTTGGCCAGAATAAATGTGTCTGGTTTTGCCAGCATAGCAAAAGCTGGATAGATTTTTCTATTTTGTTTTTCTCACTTTATCTGACATATGCTGCAAAGCTTTCCGGAGGAGTCCAGGCCAAAGTCTTCCCAGAGTCTTAACTAGGATAGTTTATATCTCCTTTCCTGCTCTTCCTTCTCTTTTCTCCCCACATATGTTCATTATGCTTCAGATTCATTTTAAACTTCAGTCTTGCTTATGTAAGACCATGATCACACTTACAGAGCACACTTGGGGTAAGTGTTTTGGTCAGGATTTTTTTTTTTTTTAAGTATTAAATTGGTATGTTATCAGCAGAGTTTTTTAAGGCAGTAGAAATGAATAGATTTATGGTTCCTTATCCTGCAGGAATTGCCTCTGTACTGGTTGTGCTTCAACAGGCATGTTTCAAGTGGTACAATTCTGGGAGCTGACAAGGCTTTACATAGCTCACTTGGCAAAAGAGCAACCTACCACAGGGTAAGAGTGTGAAATTACAGCAACGTGGTAGCTGCCAGGTGCATGTTCTTATCCCACAGAAAACATGACAGAGCCTACCTCTTACCTGCCAGCCTGTCAAACAAGGCACAAGGGCACAACATGCATTGGATGTAAAAATTTCCCTGATAGAAGGCAGAGCAAGCACCTTAGATGAGAAAATCTTCAGTCATTACAAATTACTAAAAAACTGCTGGGTTTGCAGCTACCTACAAAGAATAATGTCAACCGGAGCTTTTACTTAGTTACTTATAAACCTCATACTCGCTCCTCAGCACACAACTTGTATCACACCTCTTGCATATCATCAGTGACTTTGGCCCGGATGGTCTCACTGAATGCACAGGAGCTTAAGCAGGCAAACACAAATGTGTTTACTCGGGGGTGCAGGGGTGTAGCAAGAAAACCAGCTGAATATTAGAAAATACTCATGAAAAGTCTATTCCCTCCTACAGGTAATACCTTCTCACTCTTCCAGCTCCTCCACATGTAAATCACATCAATTTACACTCCATTTCACTGACTTATACTCTAGTAAGTGAGTGTAAGTAGGTCTTAAGGTGTCTAACTGAGCATAAAGGGCTCTAAATTACACACTTTATGCATCACCTCTGAACTTAGCTCATAGGTTTTAAACAAAAGTGGAGTAATAAATCGATAGTTTGGAGGAGGGAGGACATTAAATATATGTCCATTTTGGTTTCTCGAGGTTATCACTGTATTTCATCAAAACTAATAGAAAGCTCCTGCCTTTTTACTTGAAACATTATTGAACTCAAACTAAGATATGTACAGAATTCTTTAAACGATTATTTAAGCAGGTCAAAAAAATAGAAAAACATGAAGACACTAAATAAATCAGGGTTTGGGTTGTTTGTCTGGGTTTTTTCCTATCTCAGTTTTGATCTGTCCCTGAAAAGAAAAGTTTAAGAGAAATGCATGTTATTTTCTGTTTTGGATCATGTGTTGAAATCTCTACTGTTAAACTTCATTCTGATTCACTGTCAATTTGACAATGGAATATACATTTAAGTAAATTGCTGATGAGGTTTGTGGCAAAGCTACCAGGCTATGAATAGCATCTCAGAGTCAGTAAAATACTATTTAGAAACACTGGAATATATTTATTACCAGATGACTTACTCCTGAGGTCAATTATTGCTACAAACATTTAATTAAATGGTGATGTAAATTTGATGAGCCTACTCAGTAAAAGCAAGGCCTGTTCTGCACTTTGAAAAGGTGAATAACGGAACTGTCCTTCCATCATTCCAGTTAAAATAAATTGGTCTCTTGGAAGTTTGGTTATAGAAAATATGCAAACCCCCTGGTTCATCTTCCCCAGAATATTATCTCCATTAACTTAAAAATGTAGCGATAGAGGTTTCTCAAAGCAGAATAAAAGAACAACGTGATTTACTTTGCTAACAAAAAAAAAAAATCCTAAGAGTTATATTTTGCTAAGGAGGACTTTTTTGGGATTTCTTTTTATTTTTTTTTTTATCCTGAGCTTGGGGCAGGGTTTCTTTAAGGTATGATGTAGAGCTGGAAGGGAAATAATATTTAAGCTGAGAAACCTGTTATTATTAGTTCTCTGCCTCCACAGTTTTAAAAACAGATTCTGGTACTTATGAGAATGGGGAATTGCATTGCTTCGTGACTTCCTCCCTGATAACAAATTAATTAGATGCCAAGTGCTAAATGCTGGATTCAATGCATTCAAAGGGACACTTATGAAAAAAAAGAGCTTGGCATCTGAATAGCCTGTGTTTGCTTCTGGAAACACTTATTTATTTTAAGGCTTCAAAATAATGACAATATATAGAATGTAACACTCACATTTTAGAGCTCATATTTCCTCACAAAGATCTTTTATTTCAATTTTAATAGAATTCATTCTTAGAAATGATAATTATACACCAGGCTCACCCTGCCAGCACCACACTGTACAGCTATGAAAATCAAAAGACTTGCTTTTATGCATTTGCTGAACCAGAGGTTTTCTTGAAATCCCTTTGTTGAAAGCCTGCCCAATATTCTGAATTCTTTCAGTCTTGATTCAGATAACCTTTTCAGTGAAATAAAGACATCTTCTGGTTTTATAATACAGCCCATTAATTTACCCTTAATTCAAATCACTTCAGCTGGTCAAATTTAAGAACAGTTAGGAGACAGACTTTGTGAGTCTCAGAACCAGAAATACCCAATGAACTGCTTGAATTTTGGGAATCTTGGAAAGCAGACTCCTTGCAGGGTTCCATGCTGGGAATGGACTGGTTGCAGGTAGTTCTGCCGAAAAGGTCCTGGGGGTCATCATGGGCAGGAAGCTGAGCATGAGCCAGCAGCGTGCACCTGCAACAGCAAGTGCATGAGCTGTAGGAATAGGAGGAGAGCACATTCAGGAAATCAAGGGAATGGTTTATTCCCATTTAGAATTGCCATTGCCAGGGACACTTTCCACTAGACTAGGCTGCTCAAAGCTCCATTCAACCTGACCTTGAACACTTTGAGGGGTGGGGTATCCACAACTTCCCCAGGCAACCTCTGCCAGTGTCTCACCACCTTCAGACTAAAGAATCTCTTCCTAATATCTAATCTGAATCTACCTGTTTTCAGTTTAAAACCATCACCCCTCATCCTGTCGCTACACTCCTTGATAGAGTCCCTTCCCATCTCTCCTGTAGCCCCCTTTAGGTACTGGAAGGCTACAATCAGGTCCCCCTGGAGCTTTCTCTTCTCCAGGCTGCACAATCCCAAGCCTCTCAGCCTGTTCGAATAGGGGAGGTGCTCCAGCCCTCTGATCATCTTCATGGCCCTCCTTTGGGCCCGCTCTAGCAGTTCCATGTCAGTATTAGGTTGAGGGCCCCAGAACCAGCCTCTTCACAGTGATGTGTGGTGGGAGGATGAGAGACAAGAAGCATAAACTGGAAGAAGAGTGGTTCACATGATATATGGAAAAACTTTCTCCCCATGAGAGCAGTCAAAATGAAATATATTGTCCAGAGAGTTTGTGCGATCTCCATCCTTGGACATTTTCAAGGTCTGATAAGATAAAGACAGAAGCAACTTCATCTGACAATGAGTTGACCCCGCTTTTGGCAGTGTGTTGAACTAGAGTAAAGCAGTACTGTAGTAACAGTGGAAAGGAAGCCCCTGGAAGAGAAAAGATATGGGTGTCAAGCTGTCTCATTAAGGATTTTGTCTTGAATACCCATATACCTCTTTAGCACTTGTGCAAGGAACTACTAGAGTTATTGCACATCATTCTGAATAAACTCTACTTTTCCTATTCTGGTTCATGCTAATTTCCGACCAAGGAAAATAGTCTATTCCAGTTAAAACACATTTTGGAATGACCATGTCAAAGGTGTTTGTGTACATATTAGTCATGCACTTCTTAATATCTTTGTCTATCAAAAATGTATTTCACAAATCTTTGTGATCTCTGGCTCACTGAATTTCCATTAAAATGGAAATTCTCTTTGGATTTGTTGCATTTTGGTTTTTTTAAGCTATCATAATTTTTTTTTTTTTATCTTTAGTTAAGTAAGCAAATCAAATGACAGTAAAGCCTAGTTTATGAATTTCCAGCCTGTATCTTTTCCATTAGAATTACAGGGACATTATTTTGGAGGTTAGATAAAAATTGCTGAAAATTCCTATCAAGCAGCATGAGTCTCTCAGGTAAATATACACAGGAAACTAATTTAAACTTCCTTAGTAGTAATTAGCCCATTTCCCCCATAATACTATAAAAGTACTATTAGAAGTGCTTTAAAAAATGCATTTTGTTCACCCAATAGGCCAGAAAACTTTCTCTGGAACCATTATTCTATATCATGTAAATACATATCCAGTCACATAATGACATTCCTCTGTTTGCCCATATATAATTTACAGTTTTGTAAATTCTATTTATTCTTCAGCTGCAAGTCAAGCATACCTATGAAAAACAATGCTAAATCTGAATATGGCTACAAACCTTCAGAAATGTGCACAAACTTCCAGTAGGTACACAATTAAACACTGGATCTGCTGAGATCACAGCAGCAACCTATTCATAATTCAACTTTCATCAGTGCCAAAAATATTGGCATGCTGCACTCATTTGCATGTTTTTATGAGTTGTAAAACCTCATACAGTTGTAAACCCTTTTCTGAGATGTGGAGGATGCAAAACATCATCCACCTATGTTTTAACAGGTATAACTGAAACTGAGGATTAAATCAGTGAGAATAACTCCTGCCCACTTTACAGAAAACCAGAATGGGAGGGTGGAGGAAACAGCACAAGTTTGGCCATCTCTGAGAAGTTATCAAACCTTTGCAACATCCTTTGTAAGTCTTTTTCCAGCTTTTAAGGGATGATATCATCAATTGCTGTGAAAATAACTACTGCTCTTAAGTTTGAAACAAAACACGGGGGAAAAGCAAGCAGGCAATAAAGCTGATGTCATCTTTATGACTTGAGAGTTCAGAGACTGCAAGAGAACTCGAAGTTTTTGAGGTTTCAACACAGCGAGGTATTTGTTGCTAGCCATAATGGCTTGTGACTTGTATGGGTTCTTTAGAAAGACTGGAGTCAGTGAGGATTTGCCTTCAGCTAATCATTGTCTTCTGAGGAGATAGTAGAGGGGGATTTTCCATCCTGACAATACCAAGAGACTCCTTCCCCACCCAGCATTCAGTGACTCACTGCTGAGCAAGACAACCAGAGCAGATGCTCTGTGATTCACACTGGCTCAAAAAGGGCACTGCCCTCTCAGCACTGTCCAGCTGCATTTGGAAGGGCTGACATATAATTCGTCAAATTCCAATAACCTGCGCGAGACACAGCCCTGTGGTGAGGGGATCCCTTTGCAGAGCACTAGCACCAGGTAAGCAATGGAAAAAGAGCCTGCTGCCACGTTCAGCTGAAATAGGGCACATGCCAAGAAGTGATCTCTCCTCTTAGCACTTCCAAAATCATCTCCCAGATGTACAGGTTGTACAGGGGAGGAAGGGAGACTGTTCTTTTATTAGAAAGTTGCGGCCTTGCTTAATCTAAAGACACTAGGGTGATATGGAGAGATAAGTTGTATAATTGTTAAACTTGGCTTAAATATTGTTCCAGTATAGGCAGATCCCTGGTGATACAAATATATTTATTTGTGTATACATGCGTTTGTACACTATACATATGTACGGAGAAGATCCCTGCCTATGCTAGAAAGAACTAATGAAAAAATTATTTTGACAAAGTATTGTGTTTCAAGAGGTAGTAAAGCAAACAACCTTAATTTGCATTTAACATTGAAAAGTGATTATCCTGTTGTTTCATGGTTTGAGAAGTATATTTAAATGAAAAAAAAAAGTAGGTTGCTGATTAAAAATACAACAAAACAAAATCAATATGAAACAGCTTTCTAGATATCCACTCCTCCCAAACTTTCCTTCATCCCTACCTCATGCTTTCTAGTTTTCATATCTTTGATTTTCCTTTCAGTCTTCTTCTCACAATTCCACTGAAGGTTGCACAAATAGTGTAAATGATAGACTCTTCCCTACACCTTTTTCTTTAGGGGATTTATTTTGTTAATGTCTTTCAAATCAAGTGTGCTGCCACCAGCCATCTTGTCTCTCTGGTGGATGGCCAAAAAGGTATCTATTTAGTTCCAGTCACAGCATAGACTCGTTGTTACCAGAAGATGGGAAGGATTTGGGCTATGTGTCCTAGAACACCGCTGGACCTATTCCAGTCACAAGTTCTTTCCCCCCAGTTTGGTTCATGAAGAAAACTCTTAATGGCAACTCCACAGAGTAGGAGACCCCCTACTTGATCAGGAATTGTGCCGCAAGGTCCTGAATATAGTCAGGTTCTGACTCTGGCTCAATACCTCTTTAGCTTACAGCTGTCTCAGGCTGGTTCCTCTCATAAACTGCCCTGGCAGTAGTGTGGCAGGAGAAGGAGAGCCAGAAAACACTGAACCTGAGCAGTTAGTTAGGTGGAGAGGCTGTCGCAATAACCAGTCGAGCGGACAGTAGCTCTAAACGATGCTGTCAGCTATATAAGCTGGAACAGAGTTTCCGCTTTCACCTGCCATTGCTAAGTGGGACTGAGAATGAAAGCTGCAGTGGTCCCTGGTACATCATGTGCTGTGTTTAGATACAACAACGCACTAGTGGTAACACAGGAGGAGAAAATTTTAATGGAAGATATCATTTGTGGGGAAGAAAAAGGAAAAAAAAAAAATAAGCAAGACTATGTCATTTCTAGAAGGTATGCGTGGCTATGGGGCATGGCCATTTCACCTTCTACTTTGCATTGACTTTGCCTGTGGGCAAGTTGAGGCAATGCAGAAAGTTGCTAGCTTTTGCTATCTGTCCTGCAGGGGAGAAAATGGCTGTATAAAATACAGGAGCAGAGATTAACTGGGGCATTTTCCCTCACCCTTTTTCATTTTCTTTTGTAAGTTATAACAGCAGAGTCACTCGTGTTTATTACATTGCACTTGGTGATTTAGGGGTTGAGATTCTGGGGTAAGATAAGGCGAATTTAAGAAATGAAAGGGTAGAGGAAAGAAGGAAGGAAAAGTAGTACAAGAAGCAAAAAGCAGGCAGCATGAGAAAATTTATGTCCTTTGAAGCAATAAATAAGTCAAAGTTAAGAACTAATAGTGAGAAAGAGTTAATCCACAGCGTACCTCAGCATAGATGAATAAAATAACAACCTCAATTACACAAGTGGCAGCAGTGGAGCCGTCAATCCACTGGTGGAAAGGAGGTAAAAGCTAGCAAAGGTGATTAGATGGCAGCAAAGAAAAGTCATTCAAAAGGCCTGACTATGCTATAGGACTTCACAAGGCAAATTAAATGGCAGGAACGAGGAAGATGTGAAATGGCTGCACAAAAAACTGACAGAATTTGCAACAGAGCAGCAGAGAAGCAGAGGACGTGGAAAATAGAGGTAAAATCCTATCTGTGGCCCTGAGGGCCAAGTGAACAGAGATCCTTCTGACAAACTTGTTCCATTTCCATTGTGTGCCTAGCTGTTTCTAGTGGAAGTTCAGAAGTTTCTCTAGAGCCATGTTATGCTCTATGCTGACGAATATCAGGAAATAGACTAGAAATAGAATTCCTCAATCTTTCAAACATGGATAGCTGTCAGGAGTCTTGGATAAATACCTATTTCTTGATTGTTTCTCTAGAATGAATGGCAGTATTGATAACAGGTGATACATTCTGCTGTTTTGGCCAGGAAATAAGACAGTAGCAGCTGGGATGTGTGGGTGGGTGATGTTGTAGTTGACAAGGAAATGGTAACCAACAAAAGAGTGGAAAAGAGGAAAAAATATTTCATTACTTAAGAGAGTGAAGGATCTGAATCCATTTTGCTTGTGAAGGGAAGGTTTATATGTCATTTTATCATCATTTATAAGTAGTTGCATAAAGAAAATTATGTATAATCAGTAGTAAGGACCAACGACTGAAAATTCAAGAGAGATGAACTCAAAGATATAATTAGCATTGAAGACAATTAACCATCATGATGGATTATCAAGAGTTTGGCTATCTTTCTAAGCTATAAGCTATATGTTCTTTCTCGGTTAAAATTACTAACTTAATGCAAGCATTTTTAAATCAAATTAAGCATACTCTAGTAATGCTACATAGACCCCTCAGATGACTACATAGCTACTTTAAAAATATAACACCTTTTAAATATTGTTTTGCTTAATTTCATGGTACAGATGATGTAAAGATATAAAGTATTTCTGGTATTTACAAAATTAATTGAAATTAAACCGGTATATGGAAAGTTAAGAATGTTGGTGAAGTATTTTTCACTTTAATGATGCCTTCTGCTCTTTTTAATGCTATTTAACAGTTTGCACACACTATCAAAAAGTTCTGCTTTAGTGAAAGTAGAAAAATTAAACACAGAGAGATATCAAAGTAAACTAAGCAGCAGATTTCTTGTGGTTTGTTACTATTTCTAGTCTAAAGAATTACTAAGCACTAAATAGTGCTCTGTTCACTGGATCTCAAGTAAATAAAGTTCCTAGGCCTCTGAAACCAGCCATTTTCCGGAAAAGGAAATACTTTAATTAAATAAAAATAATACATGATGCATAATAAAACCATCATTAATGAATGAAAACCATCAATAAAAC